TCAAAGGAAGATTCTTTAGTTGGGAGAGTTTTAAAGGGGAGGTATTACCCCAGGCGTGACATTGATAGGTGTCCAACTAGTTTTGCTCCAAGTTAGCTTAGAAAAGCACTTTGAGCTCCAGAAATCTTGTTCACTTGGGGTCGCATTGGAAGATAGGAAATGGTTCGAAGGTTATGGTGCAAAGAGATAGATGGATTCTTGGAAATCCTGGCTTCAAAGTTTGTTCATGGGTAATTAATGTTTGTTCATGGGCAATTGCAAGGCATTTTTAAATCGATCCAAAACAGCCCCATGACCAACTAACTCCCAACCAAATAAACCATGTCACAAAACTTGATGAACTAGGTCATGTTGGTCCAATTTCATGCCAAAATTCAGAACTTCAAAATATGTCCCAAGGTAGTAGCATAGACCACAAATACAACCCAAGAACAAGTGGATAAAGGAGGACAATGCTGAAAAAACAATACTAGGAAAGTGCAGCAGCAAAAGCAAAAAGGTAACATGCTAAAAATGGAAAGAAGTGGGGCTGTACCAAGAAAGTGGTAATAAGTGTTTCCAAGAATGGAAATTCTGAAAATTGAAGCATGTGCATGAGCTATTATTTTGGTACAGCAGAAAAAGTGAGATAAGAGAGGATAGGGGGCTGCAAACAAGAGGGAGACATTTGGCAGAGGGTCATTACACACATTGAGAGAAAAAAGACATAGAGAGCAAAAAAGAGTAAGAGAGAAAAACAGAAAAAAGATTGAAAAGAAAACCTTGAGAGAACAAAAAGTGAGGTAGAAAATCAGAAGGAGGAGGTAGACCATAGAAGCACAAACCATTAGTGAAGGAGGATAGTAACTCTTGGGTATCTTTCCTTTCAAACCCTTATCTCTTTTACCTTTTTTGTGCATGTTTTTATTTTTCTTGTGTTTTTGCTTGTGTTGTATGTTGTAGTAAGGTCTTGATATGACCAATAAGTGATGTAATAAAATTAAGAAACAAAGATAGAACATGGTGTAGGTTGCATAGTGACATGAGTTAAAAAAACTCTAAAACACTGTCATGTTCGCTGACAAGTTCGCCTAGCGAACTTTGCCACTTTTCCTCATTGTTTCCATAAAAAAAATGTGCATTTTGGGCAAAACAACATGAAGTTCGCCTAGTGGACTTCTTGACTTTTTCTTCTGTCATGTTCGCTAGCACCTTCGCCTAGCAAACTTTGCCCCTTGTCGCCTCTGTTTGTGTTCGCTAGCACCTCGCCTAGCGAACTTATCGTTGTTTTTTCTGGGCAGCTTCGCTGGCACCTTCGCCTAGCGAACTTCAGTCCCATTTCGCCTCTGTTTGCGCTTGCTAGCACCTTCGCCTAGCGAACTTATTGTTTTTTCTGGGTAGCTTCGCTACAACCTTCGCCTACCGAACTTCCCCTGTTTTTTCTAGTTTGTTCCTGAAAATATTTTTTTCAAGGAGTTCGCCATTTTTTTTCGTATCTCGTTTCTTTTTAAGCCGAATAACTCGTTGTGGTTGTATGTTTTGTATATGTTTATTGTTGGTCATTGTTGACCTTTGGTTCTAAAAAACTATTTTCAAGAAAACAAGCTCTCGATTCTCATCGAGCCATTGTTGACCTTCTAAGTCGATTGCCTTATGCATCGCCATCAACCTTGTTCGCATCACCTCAAACTTTTTAAACAATCAAACCCTTGATCTAACGTCAAGCGAATTTTCTCAAACAACTGTTAAACTAATTCACCATCTTTAGTTAAACCAATTGAGTGTAGACTTCTTTCTCTCCGAGTGTCGGGATACTCACTTTAAAGTGTGTGGTCTCGATACTCGTCTTTCAATACGAAGACGTAACCATATTCGCCACACCTTTCTCCATAAATCAAACGCGACACTTTGCCTCGCATGGCGAAAATTAATCATTTCAAAAAGGATATGTTACGTCCGTTCTACCGCAAACAAGTAATGCCTAAGTCTCCAATGGTTGAGCAGCAATACACCTAAACTGCTAGAATGCGCACAATAACATCATCTATGAAAACATCAGTTAACTGCAGCACGAACTATGTTTGCTCTGATTCCTTATGCCAGATGAGAATATGTAGGCACAAGACGACGATGTCTTGGCGAGCTCCCTTTTTCACCTTTCACCCGTAGTTAGCCGAACTACGTTTGCTCTGATTTCTCATGCCAGATGAGAATACGTAGGCACAAGACGACAATGTCTTGGCGAGTACAACCCCCTATCACCTGTAGTTTCCCAAACTACGCCGACTCTGACTTTCTCATATCTGTTGAGTATACGTAGGCCTAGGACCACGAAGTCCTATCGAGTCATTTCTTTCCCTCTTTACCTCCCCTTCCCCGGTTTCTAACCTTTCTCTTTATCCCTCTGGAACACTCATTTAGCAATAATCTTTTAGCAAATACCTTCACACATCGACAAACAAATGGTTCCCATCGAGTACGATGGATGCGAAGGGTGCTAATACCTTCCATTCGCATAACCGGCTTCCGAACTCGTTCTTGGTCGCGAAACCATCTTATCCATTCCTTTCTTAGGGTTTTCTCGATGTTTTCCCTTCCCCTCATGGGATAAATAAAGTTCGGTGGCGACTCTTCTGTCTATCTTTTCGCCTTCCCCGTCGTTGCGTTTTTTCAAGTAACGACAGTTGGCGCGCAATTTTCTTATGTTCTAATATATGCATTCTCACCTAGCACTGGTAGCAGAAGAGACCCTTGCCTTGGTCCTTGAGTATAATAAGTGGAACCCGAAGGTAGGCATTAAGAAACAAACCTCATATTTTGCTGAGGTAGCTCGGAATGATTTCAAAGTCTTACAGGTGGATGCATGAGTTTTCGAGGATGTAATGACTACGTTATGTTGTATAGTGAGAGATTCTGAGCAAGGTTTCATTCTGTCTACGTACAAATAAGATGCCATGAGAGTGGAGTCTTCTGTCGCGGAATTGTTGGCCATCAAACGGGGCATTCAGTTGGCAAAGAATATTTATGTCAACAAACTCATCATCTAGTCTGATGCATCAGTAGCTGTTAACTGCATTAATGGATGCTTAGATCATGCAGTGTTAGAACCTGTTGCAGCGGACTGCTTAGTTCTTCTTAAAAGTTTTAGCTTGTCTTCTATCATGCATATGAGTAGGGATCTAAATAGTGATGCCTATAATTTAGCTAGATTAAGTAAATGGCTTGGATCTAGGAGTTGGCTTGAGGAGTACCCCATGCTGGACCCTCAATCTCTTATATCTTTGCCTTCCCATAAAAAAAAATACAAGTTTTAAAGAATAGAGATTCCAATCAGTAGTAAAACACAAACTTCAAAAAAAAGAGATTAAAATCAATAGCTACTTAATTTAATAGTAATTAATGTTGAATGATTTAAATCAGTAGTAAAACACAAACTTCAAAGAATAGAGATTAAAATCAATAGTTAATTAATTTAATTGATGTTGAATTTAATAAAGAAAAACACAATTTAATCTTTTACAATTGCAATCAGACACTAAAATCATTTAATAATAAAATTAAGGGTAATGCTAACTTGTACCCCAAGAGCACAAGTTAAGAACAAAATGTAAAAATAATATTTTGGAAATTGTGCATTACTTTTAATAAAAATAAAAAATTTAAATTTTTATTGATGTTTCCAATATAAACTTTCTATAAATGTATTTCTTAACTTGTGCCCTTAGAGCACAAATTAGCATTACCCTAAAACTAATTCTCGAATCAAATTAATGGATCTAACAAACTAAATATTGTACTAAAAACCAAAACAACGAAAGATTAAATTTAAAACGAAATTATAAAGATATTTTATTTATGAAATGAATATTTTTATGATTATTAATACTCTCTTCTTTCATTAAAAATACGAAGAGGTGTCACTTTAGTTGTAAAAAGAAATTGAGGTGTCAAGTGACCAACACAACATTACTTACAAACGGACTCATGTCATCATGATCTTTTCTTAACTACACGACAAAACAGATAAAAAAAGAAAAATAACAAATTGAAATTAGACTAAACAGTAGGGTCACAAACAGAAACAGCAAAGTAAAACATTTATAAATACTAGTAAAACACTAATCTTGTAATTAACACTTTAAATAAAATTAACGACTTCTCTAATCTAATCACTAATATATATATATATATATATATATATATATATATATATATATATATATATATATATATATATATATATATATATATATATATATATATATATATATATATATATATATATATATAGTTGTAGTTCTTTCTCTCTGTGTGTTGTTCTGTTATCACAATCACATAATAAAAGTACTATACAGTTTTTTTTCCTGTCCAAACTTCTAAGCTATCTATCTAACCTTTTTCTTCTGTCTCTTCCTTTCTCCTACAACATGTTTTCGTCCAATTCCTTTCAATTTCTCAGATCTTTCTTTTCACTCTAAGTTCTTCTAGGTACACATTCTTTCTTAATTCAATTTTTTTCAATTTTATTGATTGGATCCGAGTATTGTTTCTGTTTTTTTAATTGGATCAGTGGAAACCCTTTTGCTTAGATTTGATTTTTGGAAACCCTTTTGATTAAAGTTGTTTAATTTGCAGATGGTTCTGTTTCCGTGCGAATCAGTCATGCAGGTTTTCTGGAAGAGTTTTGAATCTTGTCGGTGATTAAATTTGGTATTGTAATCGTTTCCCCCTAAATTTTGATTTTTTATGTTTATGTGTAATTTGGGATTAATTTGTTTCTTAAAAAGGAGTGATTTTTATGAATAAGTCAATTTCAGATTCATAATTGCTTCTTGAAAATTATTAGTATATGCTATTTAGGTATATAGATAATGGTTGCTTGTGGATAATTGGTTTAGTTAATTGAATAAAAAAAGTCTTTTTTTGATGGGTTGGTGATTGATTCCTTGAGATGTTAAGGGAATTGTGTTTTGGATTGTTGTTTGCAGGAGGATGGGAAGAAAGTGAATAGCTTTCTAAAAATGGATCGGAGGGAAGGAGTGAATGATGGTTTTCCTAAACTTGGACCAAATGATTCGCTTCTCCCTGGTCTGATCGATGATGTCGCGCTCAATTGTCTCGCTTGGGTTAGTAGATCCGATTACGCGTCCCTCTCGTGTATTAATAAAAGGTATAGTAAGCTGATCAATAGTGGTTATTTATATGGATTGAGGAAAGAATTGGGAGTTGTGGAACATTTGGTTTATTTGGTATGTGATCCAAGAGGATGGGTTGCATTTGACCCTAAGATAAGTAGATGGATGGCGTTGCCTAAGATACCGTGCGACGAGTGTTTTAACCACGCAGACAAAGAGTCATTGGCTGTGGGATGTGAACTGTTGGTTTTCGGTAGGGAATTGATGGAGTTTGCCATTTGGAAGTATAGTTTGGTTTGTCGCGGTTGGGTTAAGTGTCAAGAGATGAATCAACCTCGCTGTTTGTTTGGATCTAGTAGCCTTGGTTCGATTGCTATTGTGGCCGGCGGAAGTGATAAATATGGAAATGTTCTAAAGTCTGCTGAGTTGTACGACTCTGCATCATGTACATGGGAACTTTTACCGAACATGCATACACCGCGTAGATTGTGCTCTAGTTTTTTTATGGACGGCAAATTCTACGTGATCGGTGGAATGTCGAGCACAACTGTTTCATTAACTTGTGGGGAGGAATATAATCTTTCAACAAAATGTTGGCGGAGAATAGAAGGTATGTATCCATATGTTAACGTGGGCGCTCAAGCGCCTCCACTTGTGGCGGTTGTGGATAATCAGTTGTATGCAGTTGAGCATCTAACTAACATGGTGAAGAAATATGACAAGGAAAAGAACACTTGGGAAGTATTGGGAAGGCTTCCCGTCCGCGCCGATTCTTCAAACGGTTGGGGCCTTGCTTTCAAGGCTTGTGGAGATAAACTTTTGGTTGTGGGTGGACAAAGAGGTCCAGAAGGTGAAGCTATAGTACTGAATTCATGGTGTCCTAAGACCAGCGTTACGAACGGTACCATAGATTGGCAGGTACTCGGTATGAAGGAGCATGTTGGCGTGTTCGTGTATAATTGTGCTGTTATGGGCTGTTGAGAGAATTGGAAATAATTTTAGATTAACTCAACAGAAGATGCTGGTATCCACAATCAGACTTTGCCATGAAGGGTGCTTCGGGTGCTTCCATGTTCCGCCGTCGCTTCATTTACTGAGTTAATTGTTGTTTGGGATAGCTTTCCCTACCTGATAATTTAATGTCTTCTTTTTAACATGGTGTATTTGGATGTATTTCTCACTTTCTTCATGGTCCATAATTTTAAATTTCTTTTGAGATTACCGAGTAGTCTTACACAGAAATGTTTATGTTTTATTTTTCTTAGCCAACTATGTAAAACCAATAAATCAAGGAGATTTCATTGTTTAATGTCTGTTGTTTTCTCCTTTCTCCATGTAATATGTTTGTTTGTGTGTGTTCATTATTCTCAAATTGTTCATCTTACCTATGTTTGTAGGGATTTGGGTGCAGTCACTGAGGTTACTCTAGTAAAGTTCAGATAATTTGTGTGTAGTAACTCGGAATATGAACTATCTGATCTTGATTCAATAATTGAGATGATTGTCTGATCTTGATTCAACGATTGAGATGACTACCTGGTAGTCTGTTCTTGATTCAACGATAAAGATGATTGTCTAATTGTCTGATTTTGATTTAACGATTAGGATGACTATTTGGTCATTTGATCTTGATTGAATGATTGAGATGATTGTCTAATCGTTTGATCTTGATTGAATGATTGAGATGATTGTCTAATCGTTTGATCTTGATTGAATGATTGAGATGACTGTCTGATCGTCTGATATGGATTGAACAATTGGGATGTTTGTCTGATCGTCTGATATTGATTTAACGATTGAGAATACTATCTCATCTTGATTCAACGATCAAGACAATATTATGACTACATTTAATCGAAATCCAATCTATGACTTCATTTGGTTTAAAATTGAATGTTAGATTGCAAGCAAAGGTGAAAAAAAAGGTAGTTTGTGTTATCTTTTGATGTGTTTTTTAAGAAGAGGTCCCCTCTCAATGTGTTTGGGTAGTCCATCCATCCAGCTGTACTTCCTAAATGAAGGTCTTATTTTCATTTTCCTATCTATGTGTCCTATGCACTTTATCTTCAAAATGACCTTAAAAATGATTTCTCTTCCTTTAATAAGCAAGATTAATTCAATTGGGACCATTCTTCATTACCTTATAAGTTTCTTTTGTCCTCTTCATTTGCAACCCACTATTTAATGTTTCACAGTTCTTGGTATATCTTTTATACACACTTATTATCATCACACCTTGATGCTGAGATCAATAGGTGGTTGAACCTCTTTTTCTTGCCAACCAACAAACGTGTTTGTGTTAATCATGTAAACAAAAGAATCGGTGCAATGTTTACTTTATTGTTGCACTTGTATTTTAGTTCCACTGTTTTCTTTTTTATATGTTTTTCATCATACTGTTACTGTATGACAACAGCAAGTTAGTGAATGAGATTCTTTTAATGATTAAGAGTTGAATCTGACTTTTATTTTTACAAGTACTTAATGATACAAGTTTGATTTTGTAGACAGAATTCAAGTAGGAAAATGATATCCTTTGTATTGTGTACATGGTGAAATAGCTGCTTGGGCAATTTTGCTACTGGATTTTTAATTGAGATTGGGCTTTAATATTTGGCCCAAATGAACAAAATGAGGAAATTTGATCCCATATCCTTGCAATTATTTCATATTTACGTAATTATCCTCCATTCCAACAATTTACGTGATTTGACCAAAATACTTTTCTATATTATAATAGTATGTGAAAAATTTCATTTTTTTTCTCATTTTAATTTCAAGTTATTCAATGTATTGAGAGAATTTTTTGAAAATTTTGTGTACCAAAAGTCTATTTCCAAGTCTTCGGATCCACAAAATTATATCGGAAGTAGGTATGACAACGGGGCGGATTTATCTAATCCCGCATCCACATCCGTCTCTCTGTTACATATCTGATCTCGCCTCCAAATCTAGTCGGAGGTGGAAATTTATCAGGATCTTGCCTCCAAATCTAGTTGACCATTTTAATAATAAACTTGTTTCTAAAGCTGAAGGTTTGAGTGAATGATGAGAAATGATTAATGATGATTTTTAATTACTTCTCTAGAAGTGAATAAATGTGTAATAAAATAATTTAAATGTGAGCATTAAAGTAAATATCATAAGACTGGACGTGGCGGGGGTGGGTGCGAAATTGGTAGTAGCATTACCCCGCTCCCGTACCCGCAATTACAAACCAGACTTTCCTCGTACTCGTACCCAATCAAATTAGACTTTTTCCGTTAATTTCGGGCTGGAGCCTCCGGCGGACCCGAATTTTCTTGCCATGCCTAATAAAAAGTTTTCTCTAAATCTTCCGATCTACAAAATTACCTTGAAACTCTTTTTTTAAAGTATTATGATTCACATAACAACACTGAAACTTTTACCCTCAAGTTCTCCAAGATTCAAAACAACATTGAAAATCTTAATTTCAAGTTACCCGATCCTCAAACAAACACACTAGAAGTTTTTTGAATAAGTTTTCCGAACTTTTTATTTTATTTTGACCACCAGAAGTCTTTTGAGTAAATTCTTCAAACCATTTATTTTTGCCATGTGGAAGTTTTTTGATTTTTTTTTTTTTAAATTGATAAAAACTATTTTTTAGATTAAGCACGATGCGCCGAGGACATGACATTAGAGTTATTTCTCGTGATGGGGTAGGACAAGGTGTGCACCCGAGGAGCAGGCACTTGCGTATTTTGGCGGGCGTACAAAACATCTCTTCTCGTACGATACGGACACCATATTATTCATCATTTATGGTATGACAAGGTAAGTAAATCTCATACACTTTATACTGAATAATAGTTAATTTTAATTATTGTTTATAATTTATATTTTTGATCTCTTAAATTGTTTCCAGAAAAGATATTCGAAAAAAGAACTAAAGGTGGTTGCATATGAAAGTAAGTTGATACAATCAATTTCAATATATTTTTCACCAGTGATTCAATGATGGTTAGTTAACGCTAGTTTAACTTCACTCCAAAGAATTAGTATGAGTATAATTGACCAAAATTTACTATAAGCATTCAGAGAAAATGACATCCAGAGACATTGTTCTTCCATATGTCATTTAATAATATGACCATTATCTTGGACGATGTTTCTTATCTATTACATCTTTCAATCATGGTGATTTATAAGACCTCTTATTGGATATGACTAAAGAAGGTGTTATTGATTATGGTAAACATAAAAAAGTCAATATTTGAAGAGAAAAAAAACTTGCGTTAAAGAGAAGAAGTTAGCGTTCAGTTATAGATAACATAAAGTTGTATTTTTTTTAATAAATAAAATATTAGTTATATAATATGCAATCTATTTTTCATAATATATAGAAATTAATGTGTTTAGTTTATGGAGGGATGTTAAATATAGCACTGAAGTTCAAAGTACAAAAACAAATTTAATGACGGGTAGAGAAAATTTCAAGTTTTGAGTGGGTGCATGTGCTCACTCCCGACCTAATCTCGTTCTGCCCCTAATTATATAGACCTAGTAGTAGTATGCAAGCATTATTGAATTTATTGATTTGGAACCTTGTGTTTGGATTATACCCATTTATGCCTACACAACTCTATTAAATCATGAGAGACTAAAACGACATAAAATTCTAACAAGCACACTTTCCCATATCTCATTCAAAATCACGGATTTTGGTAACCCTAAACCCTAGCTTGTAAAACAAAATAATCAGACAAATAAGTAGAGAAATAGGCGGAAGGGAATGGTGGGAGAAGGTCTTTTAGTCCCCATGTTTTACAAATTCATTTGAGAGTTACATATTTTATGATTGGTTAATAACTAGGCAATGTAGAGTGTGATGTGTTGGAAAAAGTTTTGTTGAAAATGAAATATCTAGAGGAAAATTGGAAAGAATTGTTAACATTAACTCCGCAATAAATGAAAAAGTATGAGTCAATGTGAGTAGATGTGAATTTGAAAAATTCATAAAAGTTTTACATTGGAGAGATACCATATTTTATTAGTGTTTATAGATATGAAAGGTTGGTCAGTACTCATCACTATGAACCATAACACGCGCTTGTCAGCCGCTGCTGTCATCTGGTCGACCGGTCGACTCGACTTAGCTCGATTTGGAATTGGGCTTAGGCTTTGGTCTTATATATGTTAGTGATTTTACTAAAACCGACATTGCATATGTTATAGGATTGTTGTGTGTGTTTACAAGTATATAGAGCAATGAGCATTGGTAAACTATTGAGAAAGTCTTGTGATACCTTAAGAGGATCATGAATCTCAATTTACACTATCATATATTTCTATTGTACTTGAAGGATACAATGATGCAGATTGGAACACCTTATCATATGATTCAAAAGAAACAAGTGGTTATATATTCAATATAGTTGAAGGAGTTGTTGTTAGACGACGACACTGATCTAGAAGGGGGGTTGAATAGATCACTTATTAAAAACAGAGTCCTCGCTTATTAATATTTGATTTTTAAAAGGTTTTAAGCGGAAGCGGCCGAAAAACTATATTCGTATAAACAAATCTTTACCGAAAAGATCGGATATACGCAAAACCTATATGGAATACCGATAAAGACGAGATTTAGAATCAATAATTTGAACACACATCAACCAGATTTTGTTCACTTAAAGTTGGACAGTTTCCAATGTGTGTGAAATATAAACCAATTAAAAAACAACACAAGTGTTTGAGTTCACACAATTAGTCGAACACTTGGTGTGCGAAGCACCTTAAGTAAATTTCAATAGGTGAATGAGATGTTATGTTCTTCAATTACAATGAGGTTTCTAAAAATGTTTTAGCACTAACACACACCAGAATTTTAATCAACTAATATGTTTGCACACAAACTCAAAATTCAGCAATGAAAATAGTAAAAAGAGAGAACATCAATTTGTTGAGGCAGTTCCCCCTTCGTCCTCGTTTGGGGTACGTCTGCCCTCAATTCTAAAAAT